CGGTCCACAGTTTGGGTGTCTGCAGTACAACTGTCAAGTGCAGCTGAGATTGCCATACCTGCCTTTCGCCACTGAGTGCAGGGAATACCGGAACATGCTACCGTGCCAGCCTCCCTTTCTTTTTTAAATTGCCCTCATATTTGTTGATCTATATTTTGACATTCCTTGTTTCTGCTCTCCTGATGATCAGCATCAAGGTATGTCCTTAAATTATTTTTAGTGATTTATATGCATCCCTTTAGCTTCATCTCTAAGCTCTCAGCAAAATTCTCATGTCTAGAGCTAGAGAAAACTTCCTATGTGCTACATTTAATACATTTAAAATGCATTCTCATTTAATTCTCATAACAACCTGTCATTCTTACAGATTATTCCAGTTATTCCTTAGGCCTGCATTTACTAGGTCCGGGGATGTTAACTCAGGCGGTTGAGTGCCTGCCCAGCATTCACAAAGCCCTGCCTCCAATCCTCAGCACTGCATAACGGGATGGTGGTGCATGCCTGTAATCCCACCACTTAGAAGAATCAAGTGGCTCTGGACAAGGCCATTCTTAAAGACAAAGTATACTTTGGGGCCTGCCTAGACTATATGAAACTTTAGCTCAAAAGCCTAGTCAATCCATACTTTGTTTAAAACATAGCTCTATTTCCTGGCTAAGACTGACTTTCTCCAGAATGACTCCCCAGCAGACTGGCTTCCTAGAAGACATATGACTTTTGTAAAGTTTAGTGGGAACTTGTCAGGCCCATTTTTTAAAAAGCAGTTCACAACTCTCTCTGCTTTAACCACAGTTGCTCAATGGCTACATTAGCGTGTTCCCACTACTGAATGCTGATGTTGGGGACAGGGTGTCAAATCCTTTGAGAAACCTGCCCAAGCTGCACAAATGAACTCCAGAATGAGAATAGCACTTATAAGTTAACAGTGTCTCCATTAAGCAAGTGGCCTCCAGGCAATAAGGGAAGTTGTACTGCTGCTTCCTGTCAGCCTCCCCCCTTCAAACAATCAATTAACAGTAAAAACCCCATCCTAACAGGTCTTCAGTTTGATGGGGTCGCTACTGCACTGCAGTTCCTCCAGAGTTAAATTCTGCCCTGAATAATGACATTCCCTGTTATCTATACATATTTATTATTGGGTCTTTAAAAATGCATCCTTAGAAAGGCTGTCCTGTGACAAAAATTATCTTTAGAACCAACATCACTGCATACGCAACAGGCAGATTCTAAAAGGGTTTTTAACCTCTGTACGGAGTGTATGTGTGCAGTGCCAGCCTAATTCTCCTGGGTGAGTTCTACACTCTGCCCCAAGGAGAAGAGCATTAATGAGAGGAGTCACTCCTTGACAGGAGCATTTTAAGAAAATGAAATCACAAGCTTTTAACGTAGAAACTAAAAGGGAGTATGGAGACCACACACATTAATGTTACAGCAGCCCCGATAGCTATAAATAGCTTCAACAATAAGATCACTATTCATTAAGTTATGTTAATGGCTGAAAAGCTTTTCATTGCTTCCAAACGAAGTCTGGACCTAGCTTGGTAAGGCAATGCCTGTAGTCTAAGCACCTGGGAGCTAGAGCAGGAGAAACAAGGGAGTCAAGGTTTTCCTTGACTCCTAGTGAATTTGAGGCTACTCCAGAGATCTAAGACATTGTCTCAAAAAACAAAAACAAGCACTAAAGGGGAAAACCCACAACTTCCTAAGACTTGGAATAAAGATATACAGATTATACCCAATGAAATAAGCTAGCTTAAGCCAGTCCAGGATGGTAAGGTTCTAGAAACTCAGTCAAATTCATCACCTATACTGATGAGAACAAAGGAAAAACGCTGTAAAAAAAATGAGTGTTTTACTTTGTTTATATGCCATGTACTGTGCAAACACCTAATTTTCATATTAAAATTTCTGTGAAATATTGTAAGCTTATATGAGGTGTCAATTTGCAAACGATAAAAATGTTTAATTGGAAATGCTCCCCCCCCCATTTTCAATTAAATATGTTCTGGTCATGATTTTCCCTCCCATAACTTCTTCCACAATCTTTCCACCTTATATACTGTAATTCTTTTAAAAAATTCAGTTTTGAGACAAGGTCTCACTAGTAGAACTAGGGTACCCTAAACTCATAATCCTCCTGCCTCTACTTCATGGGACACCATGCCCAGTACAATCTATCATTCAAATAAAGGAAAAAAGAAAGAAAGAAAAGATAAAAAAAAAAAAAAGCACAGAGCATGAGACCCAGCTAAAATTTACTCCTCATCCCATCATCTTTTTCTCACACTAAATATCCCTATTTTGTGTTATCACCCCAATAATGCTTTTTTGTTTTAGTATATTTTTTGCAATTTTCCCCTTTTGCCACCATCTTTATACTTACCAACGTTGATCATGTGGATCTTGTCAATTCACCTAAGCTTCTGGGTGGAAGGTCATCCATTCTCTGTTGAACCAATCCTGATAAGCTGCTTACAACTTTTAAACACTCAAGAGGGCTCTAAACGACCAGTTTGTGCATACTCCTTGTGTACTTTTGCATTTTCTAGGGCATTTTCTTGAAAGGACATTTCTGGATCATGAGGTACACACACTTCAGCTTTTCTAGGCACTGCCAATGTACTTCCAAAATGGCTGCATCAACTCCTACACCTGTTAGGAAAGTATGAGTCCTTTTGCTCATTGTTTCCTTGTCATCTTAAAAAAAAAGATTTGTAAAGCATTCTTTTGGAAGTTATTTCAATATAAAAACATGCTTCCAATTTGTTTGACATTTCACTTTGTTACTAGTACCTTTTATCACAAAATATCTTAATGGTGTGAAAATTATATCAGCATTTCCTTGTAGGTTTGTGCTTTTTGTCTTTAAAAAGAACTGTCTACCCAACTATGGTGAATGCATTTAATTTTACTTCAGTTTTCCTCTTCAGAATTGTTTTCAAACCACCTACAACGTATTTCAGTGTATGGTGTGAGTTAAATAATCTGACATATCATTTGCAAATCAGCAGTCATTTTTAAGATTTCCATTCTTTCACCACTGACGTTTAAAGCTACTTCTATCATGTAACAGTGCTTTTATCTGGAAGGGGCGTGTTCCTAGGCTCATGATTTGGTCTGGTGACCTATTCTTGTATGCTGAAAACACACACAGGTTACACTGCTTTGTAAGCAATCTTGGCGTCCATAGTGACATGTCCTAACCCTTTCTCAACACTGTTCTGGCTCTTCTCATTCTTTACTCCGTCATGTAAATTTTAAGACTAGCTCTATCATCTTCCATTATCTAAAAAACACTTCATGATTTGTTGCTGAGATAAAGCTACTGTTTTGCTTTGGGTTTGGCTTACCAAATACAAATACTGCATCACTGATCAACAATAAATGGTGTTGTAATGAAGGGAAGGGGAGCTATGAGAAAGACATGTGACTTCACTTGAGGTTGTATTGCTTTTTCAAATTAATCTGGTGAGATTGAGAAGGTACGGTAAATCTTCTCAAGCATTAGCAAACATAAATTTCCATTTGTTTAGTTCTTCTTTTGTTCTTTAATAAACAGCTTTCCCCCATAAAGATCTTAAGCACTTTTGCTAGAATAATTCCTGGATTTAAAAATTCTATTTGCTGTATTTCATCTTCCGGGCCATTATATGGCATATCCTTTAATTCACCTACATTGTCCAAAAAAAAAGAAAAGAAAAGAAAACCATGTTGTAGGATTGTGTGTGCTGCATTCAGAACTCAAGTTTTTTTGTTTGTTTGTTTGTTGTTCAGGTGTCCATCTTTTTCCTCCAGAAACATTTACACTGAAAATAAGTTCTATACCTTTTTCTCGAGTAAGCAGGGGATTTCCACAGGTATTAGTCTGGGATGGAAAGAGGAGACATGTCTCTCCTGAAGTATCTTGCCAGAAGCCTCTCTGATCTTTCTCTGCCCAAACCCCCCTTTTCAGTGGGGAACACTCAACAAACCCTTTGCTTTTTTTTTTTTTTTTTCCTCGGACAGGTGAACCCTGCCCCTTCACAGTAGTTTGAGATTCTCAGTTGTTGAAATACAATCTTTCAGGGATTCTGTGACCTTTGCTCCTGAGAAGCTTCACCCCAGGGCAAGAAGCCCAATTTTTCTCCACCTGAACCAGTATCTATCTTGGAGTTAGGAATGGAAGTCATTATGGTTCCCAAATCCACCATGGGCACACTTCTTAATAACTTGTTTAATTAATGGTAAAAATAAATACTATAGATAAATAATTTTGGGTTGTTTTTCAGCTTTGTGGCTAGTTGGCCAAATTTTAAATTTAGGATTCCATCGATGTTCCAATCATGTAAATGCTATTTTGGGGAATGAGGAGACAGGAGATTCTGCAGATCTCCAAAGAAAAGGCAAAATCGGCAAAGCAGTCAAAGAAGTTAAAATAAAGGCCAGCATCCATTTGCTTTGACTCACTGAGCGAATGGCGCCTTCTTTACACAGCATCTGGTCTAAGTGGGTTTGGTTGCTGTTTAGTTGGCTGTTAGCACTGCAAACACGGGTTCAGTTTGAAAGACACTTTGAAATTGAGTAGCAAACATCAACTCCCCCCAACTCTTTCTCCCCAAACCCCAGTTTGGTCTGAAGGGGCAGCATGATCCTTTTTTTCCACTTTAGGTGGGCAAGCTTTCTGTGAAATGACCTTAGAACCGTTTGCCTCATTTATCAGGCAAACTTAGAAGGGAAGAAGCTTTTTAGGAGAACCACTTTGAACGACAAGGAAGACTACTAACGCAGGTTCAAGTCATACTTTTAACACGAGCTTGTTGAAACGTTTAACAATTCCAAAATGAAATTAAACGAGTTTAAAACTTTTTTTTTCCTCTTAAAAGCATAAAAATGCAGAGAAAGTTTTAACAGGGGGAAAAAATCTTAAAACGGCAAAAAATAAGAAAAACAACTCTTCTTAGGTCCAGTCCTTCGGGTGAGTTACCAGGAAAGTGACTTCTCTTCAAGGCTAGAAGGAGGGCTCAGTACCTGCTCCGGCCTCCCCCTCGCTCCAGGCGGCTTCCCACTCGGCCTCCTCCCCTCGGGGGCGCCCGGCGGCCCGAGCGGCTGTAGGAGTCGCGCGGGGTCGGGCAGCTCCGCTCCACCGACGGCGGCAGCCCGCGCTCCGGCCTGCCCACGCGCTCGCGGCCGCTCGAGTAGCGCTCGCTGCGGTAGCTGTCGCGGCCGCCGTAGCCGTCGGGCGAGCAGCCGCGGTACTCCTCGTAGCGGCCCCCGCCGTAGGAGGGCGGCGGGCCTCGCGCGGGGCCGGCGCCGCGCAGGTCCCCGTAGCCGTCGAAGGGGTCTCGGTAGGAGCCTCCGCTGGGGTGCTCGGCGTAGTCGCGCTCGCGGCCCCCGTAGCCGTCGCGCTCGCAGTAGCCCCTGGACGGGCACTCGTCGCGCGCGCTCGAGTGGCCGTAGTCGCGGTAGGCGTAGTCGCGCGGCGAGGGCGCGAAGTCGCGCGGGTCCCGGGCGCTCGGGTAGTCGCGGCTGGAGTAGCTCTCGCGGGGCGAGTAGCCCTCGTCGCGCGGGCCCAGGTAGGGATCGCGGCGCGGCGGCGGCTCCCGGCGCGGGGGGCCCCCGTAGCCGTCGCGGCCCCGCGAGCCCGTGGCCCGCCCGCG